TTCTAACATTAAGCAAAATTCGATGGCTGTTCTAGCCCTACCCTGGCAGTAGTGAATCAAATAGAGTAAACGCAAGCTATCATCATCGACTCGAGATTCGAAATAAGTTTCAAATTGACACATAAGCTTCCAGTATCCACGAGCTTGTCCATCATAGTAGCTTAACTCAAACTTTGGTATTTCTAGAACCACAACCGGCGTTATAGACAAATTTTTTTAGGTACTTCAAGATTCTTATTCAAACTAAAATTTTCAAGTGCTCTCTTCCCTATCTGAGGGTGAACTATTTAAATTAAAAAAAGCATTAAACACTTGCATTGTAACAAAGGATTTGCAGTTCAGTTTGTGTTCATGGCTTGCAACCAGACTTCAGCTTCACTTCTTACGAGAACTCATTGTAATACCCGCAATTCCGGTAAAAGAAACTCAAAATTAGTGATAATCCATAGGGTTTTAAACTTCGATCTATCAATATTGATCAGAATTTAGAATTCACTGGTTCTGTCTTCTTGAATTATTGTTGAAGGGTGGGATAACCAAAAGATTCTTCTTCTTCAAATATTGTTTAGAACTGTAAGATTTTAGAATGGAATCTGAATTCGGAAAAACAGTTCTAGAAGTTTAGATAAGCGCCTTGCCCGGATAATCCTAATTGAAAGCAATTTATCTGGGTAAGAAACAGTTCTATTATTGATAAAAATTTACAGATAATTACCTAAACAATATTGCCTTCTTTTAAAACACTTTAACACAATGTGTTTCCGATTCTGGAAGAATGCTTCCGTATAGGTCCAAATTTGCACCCTTCCAGTCCAGATTCACGTTTTACCCGTCAGGGTATCAATTCCGATATGGCTGAAGCCATAATTAAGTATCAACTTAAACAACATAATACAGTTCAGTAAAAAACATAGAAACTCCAATAAAGGTACAAAAATAGAAACTATAACAAAATACAGATATGAGCATCCCAAAATGGGATTAAACAGACCATCAAAATGTAGCACAAAAAGAGTCAGTAAGAACATATTACAAATATGTACATGGAGGGATTTTCCCAAAATAAAGTCTTCAGAATGGATTCTACATCTTCGCCTTCTTGTTTGATTGAGTAATAAATATGAAATTCTCGCTGTTTATCTTCCTGCATAGACACTTTTATTGTACAAATGTTTTCGAATTTTAGTCTACAAATCTTGCTTATTACAGCAACAATTATTAGTTTTACAGTTTTTGACCACTGAATGATCAATAGACTTGTATACCACGATTGCTTTTCTCTATTGCTTTACTATGTACTATCAGTTTTTCTGCGATGCATATACATAACTAGAATTATGTAAAAGGTCATTGACATTCACTGACTTTCTCCTGTAAGCCAGCAACAATACATACAGTTAGAGATATAAAGAACTGAGCAATTAAAGTTCAACTTTAAAACAAGACTTATATAACTATGGTTATACTAGGAATGTTATATTATATCAATAAGAGGCTACTATAGTTATCACAGTACATAACATTTACAAATAGGTGTCGATGAAAATCGGAACTAACAAGTGGTGAGAGATTGCCGAATCTAACATGCGTTGGGAATGAGTTTTCATTAGTTTAAATGTAATGTATTTCTGACATAGCTGATAGACTAGGTTTTTACATGTATGATCATTGATTTACAACACTGATTACAGATGAGATACCGCCAGGTTAGGAATATTATACAGAAAAGGTAGGATAGATTTGTGATGGAACATCAATACAGATTTCTGAATAAGCTGTGTTGAGACTAACATGAGTTCACACTTGCCATAATCCGTTCGAAAACTTCACTGCATAAAAAGCGTTACCTTGGTGAACACATAAATGCTCCGGACTTCACATCTACCTGTTATATTCGAGGTACTGAAAAAAGTGTGGAAAGAAGAATTGCGGTTGAACTAGCAGCAATGAGTGGTTAGATAATTTATGCACCTGACCAGTCTAAACGGATATCAAATGTTTTGAAATGCTCTAACGAAATCAGTTTTAGTAACACATGTCAATACTCTACATACTATTATTAATATCCTGCGTCTGGTGCATTCGAGTACCTATTTGATACGATTTGGCGACTGCGGGATCAGTGATTTCAACGCAGTCACAAATTATATTCATTTTTCTATATTCACATGTGTAGAGAGGATGTTCATCGGGTACTAGAAGGATGGGTAATACCCAACTGCATCATGCCATCAAATTTAAGTCCGTCTATTTGAAGCTCGTCATATGCTTGTCTGTTGGGCCTAGCGAACGGATTCTTTTGACGCAGTAGGTTCATAATATTTTGTAGACATGATTAATTTAATACAACAACATTTCCAACAAGCGCAAGTACGCAGGAAAGTTCTTAGATGGCAGTCATAATTCAGGAATGGATAACGAGAGGATAAAATGGAGATTCACTTGTAGAATATTTGTATTATGGGCTCGGTAATTGGGTGAATATTTAATAGGTGTCGATGGTAAGACGCTTGGTGTATGCTGTGACCTGGAGGAATAGATATTTATAAGTTCTTTTCTGCGCACAAGAAGCTTCATGATTGTTCACAGATAATAAAGTCAGTAGACAAAACTCATACTGGCTACTAAATTAAAAATAAATCGTGATAAGACTGTTCCCAAGTTAAGGAGTAAAGCAATGAACAACTGTGAGTTGTGATGTGTATCAAGGTGGAGGGAGTTCAAGTAATGGTAAAGAAGTTGAATAACAAGGCTGGATGTTTGTACATTAGGGCCAATGGCTGGGGAATAGGAGTGATTTTTATGACAAAAATTGATAATTATATTTTTCACTGTCTTCACTTTCCAACATCTTGACAGAATAGCGATCCTAGCATAAAATGTGGAACATCCGTCTAAGGAGTCAAGCCCGGATAAAGGAGAAGGGTTGGACATGGGGTTGGCGACCCCATTCCGTCGAAATCTAACTTGCCAAAAAAACGCTAACCAGAAAAAATAATTCAAACAATTTTAACTCTGCCCTGGGAGTTGGAAGAAGAATTATGACGTCGCGTGATGAAAGCCGAGTTCCCTCGGAAGTCACGGGGCCGATGCCTCTTCTGACAACCAGAGCAACCATTTTTTTAGGTACATGGAACGTTCGAACATTGTGGGAGACTATTTCAAGTTGCGGCAGAAATGAAAAGATACAACCTCGAGGTGCTCGGCATCAGTGAAACGCATTGGACACAAGTAGGACAACTGAGACTAGCTTCAGGGGAACTGCTGTTATACTCTGGTCATGAAGAGGAAAACGCTTCACATACACAAGGAGTTGCACTGATGCTGTCCAAACATGCACAAAAGGCACTGATAGGATGGGAATCTCACAGACCGAGGATCATTAAAGCATCCTACAAAACAAAGAAAGAGGACATTACAATGAACGTCATCCAATGTTATGCACCTACCAATGACTACAATGACGACGTTAAAGATCAATTCTACGAAAGGCTGCAGTCAATCGTCGAGAAATGTTCACCAAAGGATTTGACGATTCTTATGGGAGACCTGAATGCCAAGGTTGGAATGGACAACACTGGATATGAAGACATCATGGGACGACATGGACTGGGACAAAGAAACGAAAATGGTGAGAGATTCGCAAACCTATGTGCGTTCAACAAACTGGTCATCAGCGCACAATATTCTCGCACAGACGCATACACAAAGCCACATGGACTTCGCCGGACCACACTACTCGATACCAAATCGACCATGCATGTATCAACAAAATGTTTAGATGGACCATGGAGGATGTGAGAACCAAGAGAGGAGCTGATATAGTATCAGATCACCATTTGCTGATCGCCAAAATGAAACTGTAGCTAATGAAACACTGGACAACGGGGCAGACAACATCACACAAGTTTAATACGGCCTTTCTTCGGGATACCGTAAAACTCAACGAATTCAAGATAGCCCTCACCAATAGGTTCCAGGCCTTGCAGGATCTACTCAATGGAGAGTACGCAACATTGGAGAACAATTGGAAAGGGATTAAGGAGGCAATCACTTCAGCATGTCAGGAGGTCCTTGGTCGCAAGAAGCACCATCACAAGGAATGGATCTCTGTTGATACTCTTGCAAAAATTGAAGAAAGGAGTTGAAAAATATCTGCATCTCCATACAACTTTCAACCAAAACCAAAATCAGGATTTTCAATACAAAGATCAAGACAGCCATACTGTATGGAGCGGAAACATGGAGAACTACCAAAGCCATGATTCAGAAGATACAAGGGTTTATTAACAACTATCTACGCAAAATACTTCGTATTCGTTGACCAGACATCATCAGCAACAATCTGCTGTGACAGAGAACAAACCAGATTCCAATGGAGGAGGAAATCAGGAAGAAGTGGTGGAAGTGGATAGGACACACATTGCGGAAAGCACCTAACTGTGTCACGAGACAAGCCCTCACATGGGACCCTCAAGGCAAAAGGAAAAGAGGAAGACTAAGGAACACACTACGCCGAGAAATCGAGAAAGATATGAGAGGAATGAACAAACATTGGACAGAACTGCAGACGGAAGTCCATGACAGAGTTGGTTGGAGAAAACTGGTAGGCGGCCTATGCTCCATTGGGAGTAACAGGCGTAAGTAATTAAGTAAGTAACTCTACCTCCCCATAATTTATGCACCCTTTTGGCCGCTCACTGACTTACCAGACAGTAGTTTTCATCATTTTATATATTTCCAGTTGTTCAGCAAGTAGTTTAATCAACACAAATGATTATTCCCTTATATTTTATTCACGTTTTGGATAATCACCGAGATTGCAACCAACTTGCTTACGGCTGGGTAGTGTAACAACTGCTGGTTCCCAGAAACTTTACTGCGTTGAATAAAACGTTCTTACGCAAGTCATTGGACAGACGGATCACTTTGTTTATTCTGGCTCGCCGAAAAACATTGGATATTGAAGGTGTTTCTATACGGTAAATGGCTATCAGAGTTTAACCTAGAAGAAGGCGCTGCGTATGTCTTCCTAACAGGTTTTTTACTCTTTTCCACTTTTAGGTAGTGTATCTTTAATTTTATCTCAAACTTCAGCAGTTGGTTAATTCTGCTTATCGATGAATAATTTTTCAAACGCTTTTGTTTTGGTGCCTCCTCTGAGGTTTTTTAAAACATGTATATACTGAATTGAAAGCACATTATCTCCCCAGGGCAGAGGAAGAAAGCCGTAAACGATTACATTTTCGTGCAGTGTATTGATCTTAAATAATTTCAAATCTAACGAATGTTCTGCATCTTTGCCTTCTTACTCGTACGTTTTACTTAGAGTCTTCTGTAGACTGAATACCCTGTAGCTACAACCATTTCAAGTTAAAAAACTGTAATACTAAAAAGATCAGAACAGATTTTTGAAATATTTTCACATTCGTTCCACAACAAACATAATTTTTAGTTATAAATACATTTCGTTTGTAAAAATCGTAAAACTTTCGGAACTTTTGAGATATAGTTTAAGGTACAATTTGGTTACCAAAGTTTATGGATAAATAATGATAGCCTCAGATACATTGACTTTTGTACGAACGGGTTTGTTTTCGGCTCTCGATTCATTTATCAGTATAATTATAGGCACAACACTACTTAAATATGGGGTGTTATTCGTATATGTCCGTTTTCCCTAGACTCATGATTCACACAGTCATATCATTATTACTAATGTATATCCTGATAGTCAAGTGGTATCTTTGAATGGTCAGAAGTGTCTCCGCTCCAAGGCATGTAAACTGTTTCAATCTTGGGACAAAAATAGACCTTCTTGCCCACACTTAATTCTGGCTGTTAACAGCCGAGTCATCATTCCATCGTATATAACTTTTCACTCTTTCCTGGACCCCAACTTTAATAATTATCCTTTCTCACTATCACTGAAAATATAATTATTTCAACCTTTCCTATTCATATTGTTAGTTACCAAAGTTTTGAGTTTGATACTGAATGCGTAAATACTGAATGAAACGGGTTTGAGAAGTGTACTCATAATCTGCTTCCACGTTCTTACTAACCAAGTTGTTTTTTGATCTTAAGAATCTTGACTTTAGAACCGTGACTTAACCGGCCACTAGGGATAATTCACTTTTTACTTACAAGAACATTGCAATTAAATTGAGGTCAAAACGGATATAATCCAGTTGCGTTTATGAAAATTAAGTGAAAGCATGTTTGATTTTCAGTAACTCAATAACCGTGTGGTATAATTCATTTGTTTCCTTAAGGTATCATTGTAAACATGTGTAGTAAAATGTTAGTGTTATTTAACAGGAAACCTTGTTCAATGAATTTATTTTTCGACGTGTGCATTCATGGAACTTTTTGTCGAGAATTTGTAACTTTTTAGGCGTAAAGGCATGATTAAAGTATTCTCTTTTATTTCAGCTGCTTCAAATTCTTATGTATTCGCTAAGTTGCTATGATTCGTCTACTCTTTTGGATGTCCACTGTAGCATGTTTGATCTCCAAAACTTACTCAGCAATATCTGAAGCCAATTTGGATGAACTGTATCATGGTGAAGTTTCACAGGATCAGAAAATTGAATATCAGTTTACTCTTGCAAATCGTAGCGTATGATATGCACTGCACTTTAAATTCATTTTTGCCTTTGAATATAATATAATTTTCATAGGAATTCGTTATTCGAGTACATGTAGTAAATTATAGCCCGAAACCAGATTATCCTATATTAGTCGTGATCAAGCAAGTGGACAATGTAATGTCATTCCAAGCACCAATGGTTCTTAATTCAATGTAAGTTATTTCCTTTCCTTTAATTTTTCATTCTCTCTAAACATACAAACAGATCAGCATATGGTAACGTTAGTCGTACGTTGTGTCCAATCAAATTACTGCCTGGATCAATTCGGAAACTTACAGTAGAACTGTCTAGCGCTATCGAGCCACCTCAAAAAGTGCGTTACATGTTTCTGGCTCAGTTGGTCCCTGATTTCGATTTGGAGTATGTTAGGTTGCACATATGACAAACCAATATTTTATTTCAGATCGGGCATTGAGAGGAGTGTAGTAGTTTCCCCTGCGGAACCTATCTATTTAAGATATCTTTATCCTCCACAAAAAAACTCAGCAGAAATTAAGGTTGTTTCTGAAAGTGATATATGTATGGTTTTGTCTATCCAAAAATTACAGGTAAGTTTTGTGATCAGAAATCCACAAATAATTTTAGTGTCCCGTCAATGATTTGTCTGATACAGTAGGAAACACTGGATTACATCAAACTGTCACTACTTTGGGTGCAATATCCATTGATGTAAGTAAATTTTTAAATTTTTGCAACTCTTCAAATATCTGAATCTAGGTGACTCAATTTCTCAAAGGATTTTTCCTCGTTTTAGTCTTGAAACCAACAGACTATGCTTGTTCCGGCATCGAAAACTTGATCCCACCATTTCCAGGTAATGTAAATCATAGATTTTATCTTCTGATTATAAAAATGTTTTGAAAAGATAGTGAAGTATATAAAAAATTAATTAATATAATAGCATGAGCCTCTCAGAAGGTACATAAAAACGTTTCACTTAGGAATCCGTTTGATCGACATATCCGACGTTTATAAATGTACCTGTTAATGCCGATTGATGAAATGATGAATATAAACATAAAAATGGTTTTGTGTGGTAATGAGTAAACTCTATCTGTGTAAAATCTCTACATAGACTAAAGTGAATTGTTATTGTAAATTATCACTCAATGCAACATACAAACTTGGCATCACTGAACCTAACGAACTAGCACATACATTTATTTTAGTACTCCTTACAACAACGAAAATACAGGCTTTTAACAAGAATGAAATATTGTCTTAAACGTTAAAAAAACTTACGAAGGATCTCCATTTCCTTTCTACTGAACAAATCTCCATTACTTCTGCGTTATGAAATCCTCTGGTTTTCATTTTCTAACTTTAGGTATTCAGTGTACAGTAATATCAAAGTAGTCAAGTCTCTGCTATTACCGATTTCAATTGAGTGAAATCGGAAACAACAACAGTCCACCCAGAATCGCTCAAAGTTGAGAAGCTATTTGCATAACTCGATAATTATTTCTCTAATTGTCACGATACTTATGCCTGTTACCATTTGTTGAGCATAGGTGAACGACCAGGATTCCCTAGCCATGTCTATCCAGAGTTGCTCCGTCCACTCCTAGCCAAGTGCTATTCATTCTTTTGATATCTGCCTCCAATTCCCGATGCTATGTGTCCTTCGATCCCCCTCTCTTCCTTTTTCCCTGAGTATCCAAGCTAAGGGCTTGTTTTGTGATACAGTTCGGGAATTTCTGCAATTTGTGTCCTGTTCACCTCCAGAGTCTTTTCCTAATCTTCTGTCTATCTGAACTCTGGTCTGTTCTATGTCTCACTAAGTTGTTGCTGATGATTTCTGTCCAACAGATCTGAAGTACCTTGTACAGAAAATTGTGTATGATTAACTGTATCTTTTGAATGTTAGCTTTGATAGTTGTCCAAGTTTCCGCTCTATATGATAAAACTGTTTTGACATCAGTTTGAGAATTGCGACTTTGGTGTTGTGAAAGTTGCTTTGAGTTGCAGATGTTCTTCACTTGTAGAAACTGTGCCCTTGCTTTGCAAATTCGTGTCTTTACATCTGCATCAGATCCTATGGTTTACCTATGATGCTGTCCAAGGCACTTCATTTATGGCTTACAATTTAATTCGTATTGTTCGTACTTCAGGAAGTCAAATTATTGTATTATCCAAATCAAAAACCTGTATTCAATGCAGTAGTAGTACCATAGATGCATTGCATCGGCCCTATTCGACCGAGTCTTTATCATTAATCTTCAGGTGCTAACGAGCGAGAATACTTAGTCCAACCAGGAGGTAACCAATAACTGAAGTGAGATCTTCCATCATATTTAATGGTGCTTCGAAGGATAGCTATCGAAATAGGCTCTATTACGAACTAAATAATCTCAACCAACTGATCATGAACCGGACCATCAAGTGTCTAGCACAAACATTTGTTGTTTTAACATCCTGTAGGGACTTGTCAGTCAGTCAGTCAGTCGGAACGTAGAACTTCGTACGTAAGTACATCAGTTCATGTCGCCATACCACATCAGCACAGAGATGTAATTGTCAATTCAAATCCAATAGTAGAAGAGTTAGTAAGGGTATTAGAAGTAATCGGAGAGGTTAGGATGAGAAGATATTATTCAACAAGTATGATTAAATGAGAAAAGTTTAGAAAGTCAAAACTAGAGTGGTTGAAGAATCCAGCAGATTATGATTTGAGAGAACACAAAGAATAAATGCACTGGCGCCATTGCGAACGATTTTGAGCCATGTCATTCAAGGTCTCTAACCATCGATTATTATCATCTCGCGGACCCCAACCAGGTAGTCGACAATTACCGACATGGCTCAGTCCACTAGTCAATGACTTCATGGATTTGTGCCATGTTTTGGTTTGGCCGCCCCTAACTTTCTTCCAACCTATTCCTACACTACAAAACAAGGCTTGACGAGGCAGTCGGTGGTTGGGCATACGCAACACATGTCCCAACCACCTCAACTGGTGAAGTTTCATTACTTCATCGATTGATCTGCCATTCTTACCTAGCACCCGATTCCTAATAACAGCGTTGCTCACTCGGGTGTCCCAGGATATACGAGCAATGCTTCGAAGACACCTATGATCGAAAACCAGTAACCTACGAATATCTTCCACTCTCACTGGCCATGTTTCACAGCCGTAAAGTAAGACGGAGCGAACCATTGCACAGTACACTCGTCCTTTAGTCAGCAAACGGATATCACGTCTACGCCATAAGTGACGCAGGTTGGCAAAAGCCAATCGAGCTTTCTGTATCCGAGCTGAGATTTCGTCGGTCACCAGGCCATCGGCACTGATGAGACTCCCAAGATAAGTGAAGCGGTCTACACGCTCGACTACTTCACTCCCTACCACTAGTTCAGGTGCCGACGAAACCCAATCTTGAAGCAACATTTCGCATTTCGAGGGTGAGAACCGCATCTCGAACATGCTTGCATTGTTGCTTATGGTGGTCAGAAGACTCTGCATTTTGTCAGCGCTTTCACCGAATAGAACTATGTCATCGGCATATTCTAAGTCAGCAAGCGAGCCTCCTGGTAGAAGGTCTACTCCTGAAAATTCAGACGAGGACAAAGTTATTTCTAGGAGCATGTCCATGATAAAATTAAACAAGAATGGAGAGAGTGGACATCCCTGACGGACACCACTTAGAGTGAGGAATTCCGTTGACAGTTCGCCATAAGCTCTCACTCGACCAGTGGTGTTCGAGTAGAGAGCTTGTATGAGGTTAATGTACTTCTTTGGTACACCTTTCAATGACAGACACTGCCACAGAACCTCACGATCCACTGAGTCAAATGCCGCTTTTAGGTCCAGGAAAACAACTATTGTAGGACGCCTAAATGTGTGTCTGTGTTCCAAGACCTGTCGTAGTGTGAAAATGTGGTCTATACAGCCACGTCCAGGTCGTAAACCAGATTGGTTTTCTCGAGTTTGCTCTTCACGAGCTTTCGTCAAGCGTCGAAGTATTATTGAGGCCAATATTTTAGATACTATATTAGTTAGACTTATTCCCCTGTGATTGTCACAAGAAGACTTTTGTCCTTTCTTATAGATTGGGACAATCAGTGATTGAGACCAGTCGGATGGGATTACGTCCAGTTCCCAGATTCTACCTAAGATCTGAGTCAACCTAGCTGCTAAAACTGGACCACCATCCTTAAATACCTCAGGGGTCAGTCTATCAGGACCTGCAGCTCGTCCTCGGTTCAGAATAGGGACTTGTAGGCAGACTGGTCACGCTTAACATTTAAAGCGAGTACAGGAATAAACTAAATTCAGAGTCTTGAGCAGAACTGTCAAAGCTGGAGATGATTGAAATAAGTAGGACCCACTGAATAAGATTTGCATAGAAGAAATCGGCATCCGAAGAAGTGCTGTTGAACTAATAATGAAAAAAGTGTGATAACGGTTTTCAAGTGCAACGGCTGCCATTTATGCAGGACTTTGCAGTGTAGTCCTTCGTATGAATTCTGTATGATAATGACAGTCGCCTCAGATACACTATGGTTTCGAAAAAGGTTCCACGTTGTCAAATTCCTTCTCATAGTCAAGGAAGTTGAGGTAAAGCGGTAAGTTTCGTTGGTTAGATTGTTCGACAATGATCTGATGAGTTGCCATTTAGCCACTCAACGATCGATCTTTTCAGCAATCTGGCCTGTTAATCTCAAAGTTGAGCGTCTGCTGTATCCTTCATTGTGTTCACTAACAATTAAAAATTGCCTGGTACTGATGGAGGTGTGATATCTCCATAGTTATTCACGTATTAGGATTTATCTTTGTTATTTTGACGAGATACCCTTCTTTCCAATTTATCGGTACTTCTTGCTCCCAAATCTTGCGGGATAATATGGCGCATCTTTGCAGTTACTTCTGTGTTAGACTTCAGTGCTTCAGCTGGTTCGCTTTATGGTCATGTAAAGAAAGAAGAAGGAAACTCAGATGAGATAACGCATTTGCCTGAGGAAGACACAATTGACTAGCCAAAAAGTGTACACATCATAAAATATCCTCTTGAAAAACATGCATATTCTTGGCTATCTGCTCTCACATGTCCTCTATTTGTCAACACACCCATAAATCTGAACCCGAAACTTGCTTCGGCTGCAACTTCAGAGTGACACTCTGCTTTATATCCACTGAATATCACTTATAAGCTTCACTCTCAGTAGTAAAAACTACAGTCCTACTCTTATCCTACTCATAATCTAATTGATAGCCATGTTGATCTTGCCGATTGTTGGTAGTATATTCTTTGTACTAAGGTCTGTAGGTGCTATATATCTATACATTTTTAAAGAACGATATCTTGCCCTCACATTGTAGTCTACTACATTATATTGTTTTTTACGTGAAAAAAATTGCAAACCAAGCTGTAGTTTTTTTACGTAAAATATATTCAGTTTATATACGAAAACTAATCGATAGTTTAAAAGGTGCCTTTCCATATTTTGAAGATGTTATCTTATTCTAACAGGCATCTTAATTCCTGAAAAATATCATAAAATCACAATTTTATATAAGTAGATTTAACACAGAACGTCTACCCTAGAATCCAGGTACCTTCAAATTGACGAATCCCAAATCAGACGAAACTCTCCTTCTAGACTATACTGCCATCCGTCTTCCGTCTATTCCACATCAATCTGTGTCATAATTTCTACATCAAAACAGTCTGCACTAGATCCCTACATACCAACCAAGGCTGATAAGATTTCAATCAAAGCTATCAATAACATGTTAGTCTAAACTACTTCAATGGGTTGAAATTTATTACAATCTTAAAAAGTTAACTAACGTTTGTAATCATCACCAACTGGATATGATTTAAAATTGAATGAATATTCTTTTTTGCTTTTGATCAATACTGTTGCTACTATTTGCTTTTATTACTGATTTAATATTAATTAGCCTTATTTAAACTTGTTGTACTTATTGTTTAGTGGCCGCAAAAATCATAAGAGGAAGCGTTCTGGTTACTTGAGAAATTTATCTCTAACAATACCAATTTAATACACTGTTGTTACACTGTTGTTGCTGTTCTTTACAGTCATACATCATTTTCCATCATTTTGTATTTTTCTTTCCTTCTCTCTCCCTCCTAGATCAGGAATTATTTTCACCGAAACCACAGATCAATCTTCCAGGTTCTCGAAGTAAATCTGTCAAAATTCTAGTTACTTCTAAGCATAGAAGTAAGTTTAATTCATTGAGTTCCATTTTATTTTTTTCTTACAAAATATTTTTACCGTAGAGAGGAGAAGTATTGATATAAAAAAAACTTGTATTAGTGGGGGAATAAATGCCATTCTTATTGAACCAATTCAGTATAATTGTTGATGAAATAAAGTCGTTTATACTTTATTTTCATTTTTCATCAATCAGTATTTTGAATTTTATTTAAGCATTCATTGTTCATTAGTCATTGGCAACGTTAGAATCTAGCAAAAACATACATATTGTCATACTTTATCATCATTTTAGATGAAAATCTTAATTAGTCAATATAATTTCAAAACATAAACCCTTTGAATGCATTTTGAGCAGGCTTTACATATAAAGTATTCTGAGCAACCTTCAAATTATCTGATACATTGTTGTATGAAAAATGTTTACGTATAGTCACCAATACATATATGATTTTTTCTCATCTAGTGAAATTTGGTCAATAATTTTTACTTCTACTTTTATATTTAGTAATATCATCAAAGTGACAACATTTTTCCAGTTAATCATTCAAATGAGTTCATTTAAAGAAACTTTATCATTGTTTGGGTGAAAAAATGCAAACGATAATTTTCTTTTCTCAGAATCGATGATAAATTCTTGATTATGAGAAGCATAACTAATTAAATTTAAATTTATGTTAATCCGTCGTATGTTTCATTTTTGTTAAAGCTTCGTATATACTCAAAAAAGTCTTATGGCACTGGATTACCTTTTACCCTAGAATATATTCAGTTTTGATAACGCACGGTTTGACTTCGGTTAAGAGAATAAAAATGCGAATATCGATTTTCTAGAAGAAAACATGTTACCGTTGTACATAAAGTGCATGGCGTCTTATCATAGTCAACGAAGAGTGCAGTCTTTATTGTCGAGTTAATACATCTCTCATTCGTAGTTATCTGATAAGATATTCTATAGAAACGCTCAAATCAATAAAGCATTCTCTTTTCTGATCCATAAACAAATCTGAAAACAGTATTCTTCTATCTTTAATGTAAAAAATTATCTCAAGTATTTTTGTATTCATAACTGTTTGATAATAATCGTAATTTTCGTCTTATTTCTCTACATTCAACTGATTTTCGCATCTTGAAGAATGGCCTTATTTACTTCCTATACTTGGAGCTGTTTGTGTTTACTTACTTTTCTATGTGGTCACAATCGTTATCATACTACTGTATCAAAGAGCGTAAGTCATTTTGATTTCAATCTATTCATAACTTCAAGTTACACGTTGTCACTTTATAATATTTCAATTTTGAGGTATGATTTAAATCAATAAATGAAATCATTCACTCGTTTGAATAGGAAATTGTTATTCATAGTAGCCTCATTAATATCTGTAATTGCAGTTTGTTCTTTTCATTCTTTAATCATACTGTTTTTATAGCTGCTTAATGTGAATCATTTCTCAAATACTGCCAACAAAAATAACTTTCACCTTTCATTTAATTAATTCTTAATTCATTCAGAGAGAAAAGAGTCAACTAATTAACCAAGAGAATTCGATCAATATTGTCATTCGCTTATTGTATTTGAATATACGCTAACACAATTTCATTGAAAATCTACATAACTGTGTTATCATTCGGCTAGAATCAATTGTTATTGTTTTATTAAATGTTACTTTATTAAGTAATCGTCATCATCATCACTATATTGACTTGAGGAAAAACTATTTTATTTGGCAAACACTTTCACTGAATACATAAACATAACTAATCATGAGAACTATACAACCCTCGATTACAGTTTTATTTTGATGTGTTATTCACTTATTGTTCTTGTTTACTCGATGTAGTAGTAAGTGTAGTTTGCTTTCACATCTCTGTGTATGTGTGCGCATTAAGCCATTAAGATAGGAAATTTAGCACACATAAATATGAATAATAGCTATTTGGGAGATAGCGGTGAAAATGAAGGACACAATCGCAAAGCAGCAGTAAACCCTAACGTTTGTGTAATAGTTCTTTAAATTTTTAAACCTTATAGACTGAACCAGGTCTCCTTTCCATTGAAATATGTGAAATATTGATTGTTTGATTTAATTTCATCATCTGTATTTTCGCCGTGATGAAATTATGAATCCTCATATCTATCTTATTTTAAATGAATTGATGTACTTTGATCCCGGTTTACGTTTAAAATCTATGCATGAATTAGTGAGTCTTCGGTTAATGGCGCACTAGTTAAACTTTCAATGATTAAGTTTCGTAGTTTCAAAACCCTACTCATACATACCTTCAATTTTAATCATGTTAAGTGAGTAGTAGTAATAGTATCATTCAGTTCGTAGATCAATAGTGTTACTCAAAGCAAAGTAAACAAATCGGTACTTGATTAATAAAATTAAAATCTAATTACACTTATGCTGATTTCATGAAAGTTCATCTTTTTGCAAAGACGTGACCAGTGGAGTTTCAACCCTTTCGGTTGTAGGCAGTAACTACCAAAAGTCAAATGGGTGAGATAGCGCTAAATCTCTAGATCAATCAGAGTTATACATTAACACCGTTGGATGTCATCCCAGTGGTCCAGAGGTTAGGGGTTCGCGCACAAGACCGAAAACCCGGGTTTCAAATCCTGTGAGGTGCCGGAGTCGTGGATGCACACTGCTGATGAGTCCCACACGAGGACGAAACGGCTGTCCAGTGCTTCCAGGTTTTTAATGGTGGTCTAACAATGATTGATTGATGATTCCAAATGTATAAAAAACGAAGTTTAAGAACAAATTCTTTGTACATTTAAAACGATGCTCAATTTCATTTGATTTTTCTTCCTTTTTAGAGAAAGAAGAAAAATATTTCTTAACGGTAAGTTTAAATACTGATCATTGTTTCAATAGAAATCTTTGTACATTGTTATGTTTTTATTTTTATTTCATATTTCATTTTAAGCGCCTATAATTTAACGCATCTTATTTAAACAATAATTAAACGAATGATTTACTGAAATGTTTTGATGAAAAACAATTTTAAATGATTTTTTTTTACAGTGCGTTGTACTTAGTTCACCTTTTACATCTACAACTTTAAGCCATATTATTTATGTGAACTACTATCCTATTTATTTTTTCAAAAACAATAAAAATAACGTTACCATTCAATCCTAATGAAGTTTCTCACTACCTCTTTTATTTTGCCGTATTTCCGTATTTTCACCTTTGTACATGTGTTCGTAAATACATTAGTATTGATTATTTTCACATAACCTATTATTATAGGTCACTTGTGTGTATGATCATCGTAACAGACTAAATTTTTAACTTGATTATTTTTCTATGCTTTTAATCTTTCTCTTCGAGTAATGTCAAATTAATTTATAATCTTCTATTTCTAATTCCATCGTTGTATCCAACAATTATTTTAATGACATCAAACTAACTAAATGTTAATTCTGATTTCTTTGGAAAATTTTCTCTTTAATCAATATTATAGGCTGGAAAGCATTAGTTATAATTGTATATTGCTAGTTATGTCAAATTAATTCTCAATTGTTGTGTTTAGCGTTTATTACATTCTTGTTTGATAAAGAATGATGATTTTATTTAACTACAAAGAATTACGTATTGTAACGAGTGAATGGATATATTTTAGTAGATAAATTGTTTAATCCTCAATGTATCATTAAATTATTTGATCCGTTCACTTGTAATATACATTTAGAAAATCTAATCACTAGACGGTTAACCATATGTGACTGTTTGTATTATCACATTGCTTTTTACTCAATCAAACATTCATCCTTTATCAGGTCCCTCAGTATATATAGTTGCATTTCTTCACTTGAAGCGGAAATTAAATTTCATCGAATGATAATTGTCTGTCAGTAAATAAGGTAACCAAACAAGTACATAAACTCATATACTATTGTTCAACTTAGAGCTTATAGTCTACTGTCATCAGAATTGATTATATATAGTGGTATTCGTTAGGGTTATCTACTTTCTTGAATTTTATTTGGCTTTGTTCAGGATATTCTTCTAAAGAGATAATACTATTATCTTCTGACTAATCTCGTGCCAGGAGATTCATTTATTGACTTGTTATAGGTTAATGATGTGGTCTTAATTAATGAAGAATCTGATAAGATCCAGAGCCTTCTGATTACCTTGAAAAATAGTACTGCTATATTTGAGTTGCATTTCTCTATCTCTAAATGCGAAATGGCACCTCAGAATTGGTTTGTGTCAATGTCTAAAATAATTATAGGGACTGAAGTATTTTTAGTGAGTTCACTATTTCATTTGTCTTCGAAATCTCATCAACCTTGACAGGTTACTGTCTAATCAAATATCTGCATGCATTCAGAAAATTAGATTTGCTTTCACTCACTTGCATCAGTTTTGGCTAAGACAATTTATCTCTCTCTCAACTAAAGGTTTATTGTGCCTCACCACAGTTTGCTGTGTTCTGATTTATGGCTATCAATGTTGGTCTTCAAGACAAAAGAGAATATTCGTGAATTATGAGTATTTGATCATAGATGCTTTTTAAGCATTGCTTGCATATGTTTTGACCATTGAGTGAATAATAATGCAGTTCCACTCAACTTACTAGTCAAAGATGACAAGTTAGTTGATGAGATAGTAAATATTCATCAACCGAAGTGTCCGGGTCATGGGTTACAAATGCTCAACCACCGTTTACCTCAATACACTATGTAAGTTAGTGTAGATGGCAAACAAATTAAAAACGTAACATACCTTATTGAAGTTAACGATTGTTAGTAAGCTTAGACTATTTGGTTAAGATCCACATGATTATCGTGATTAATGTTTAGAGACGTTGTATGACATGATTGAAAATCTGCTACAATTGTTCAATTTTATCCACTATTTGTCTCCTTTAAATCTGAACTTTCAAAATTATTTTATATCTTCTGAATTTATCACTATACCTAATCTTTCTTTACTATCACTTATACTACGATTACTGTAGTATTCATCTTGCTAATCTCATCTTTCTATATATTGTTTGAAATGGTAGTTTTAGACCAGGTTCTACATTGTTGATCGCGGATACAGAAAGCTCGGTTGGCTTTTGCCAACTTGCGTCATTTCTGGCGTAGGCGAGATATCCGTTCACTAACCAAAGGACGAGTGTACTGTGCAGCAGTTCGCTCTGTTCTCCTATATAGATCCGAAACATGGCCAGTAAGAGTAGAAGATATTCGTAGGTTACTAGTATTTGATCACAGATGTCTTAGAAGCATTGTATCGTGGGACACCCGAGTAAGCAATGCTGCCATTAGAAAACGAGTTCTGGGTAAGGATGGCAGGTCATTTGAGGAAGTAGTGAAACTTCATTAGTTGAGGTGTTTAGGACATGTGTTACATATGTCTAACCACCGACTGCCGCGACGAGCTATGTTTTGTAGTGTAGTAGTAGATTGGAAGAAAGCTAGGGGCGGCCAGACCAAAACATGGCAGAAATCCATGAAGCCACTGACAAGTGGACTGAGTCATGTTGGTAGATGTCGACTACCTGGTTGGGGTCCGCGAGACGAAAGTCACCAATGGTTAGAGACCTTGAATGACATGGCTCAAAATCGTTTGCTATTGCGCAAGGGCATCCATTCGTTGTGTTCTCTCAAATCCTAATCTTCTGGATTCGTCAACACCTCTACCTTTTTGTCTTTCTAAATTTATCTCACTGAATTATACTTCTTGAATATTATCTTCAATTACTAATTTTCTCCATTAGCAGTAATTCTTTTACTATCTCTTTCACTATGGGATTTGAATTGACAATTGCGTCTCTGTACTAATGTGGTATGGCAACTTGAACTGATGTACTTACGTACGAAATTCTGCGTTGTAACTGACTGACTGACATTGTTGATGGCTAAATATTGTTCTGTACAATGAAAGCATACATTTCAGAATATTTTTAGTAGCTTATCCATTCCGTAGTATACATTCTAACCTCTTTGTATTTGAATTCTATTTTTTTTTACTTCTTTATCATCTTCTTTTATAAATCCAATAGCATTGTTCGATTAATGAAATTTTTTGGTATACATTGACATGATAAATGTATACATTAAACATGTTAATATTATTTCCTATTTACTGTACTTGACGTTTTGTATAACATTTGTTTAAAATCTGAATAATTAAATTATGCGTTTTATATTGGTG